TCCCGTGAGAAAACGACTTGCCGATGTCTGATATCGAACGAACCGTGCTCAAGAAACCGCTCTTGTCACCATTCGGGCCATTCTTTTTAGCCTAGAAATCCAAACTGATGCTATGTTCTGTATCGCGACAGTGACCAACCAACCTGCTCGTACTGATGCACATGTTTTCGATTAAGGATTTCACGAATCTCATCTCGCATGTCCTCTTCCACATCGCCTTCTTTCACAAATTCGCTTATCAACGCCTCTGAATGAAAGCCTTTACTCATCCAAGAGCACTTTTCCCTACAAAATCTTTACTTTCAACGGAAACAAATTTCCATGAGTTTTGTTTTGTTTTCATACCTGGTAAATGCTTTTAAAAACGAAGCTATGAGCGGTTTTACTTACAAGAATTGTAAAATTCAGATGCATGGATGCTCTTTTAGCTCACTTCTAAGGTATACCCTACAAAGCTAATAGCCATATAGAACTGTAATGTGTACTTTTCATTCAATTTTCTTTGCAATGTAACAGCTTACACTTTCGTCTACAGAAGCACTTAACAAAGAAATAGATTTGTGACCAGCGTTCTAACAATAAGCGGCATTCACCGTTATGAGCTCGATGGAAATATCCACATCAACCTATAATCATTTCCGCTTCCCTTGTCAAGTGTAATCTCTCAGAAAAACACTCCAACAGTGACACATTTGAAGCTGCAGCCAAGTCGCCTTCCTCGGAACTTTGCGAACGAACTCGTGAGCAATTCCGCTTCCCTATGGCATCAGGCAATCAAATATGTATATGATACTTAAAGTGTAACTACTGCGAGGTGTGGCCTAATTTTGGTACCGCTACAAGGAAGATTTTTCAGCTTTGAGTCTGGGAGATGCAAGTATTCTGCTTAAAATACCGCTCGTATTTTTTGAAAAAAAAAACGTCAAGTCGCGCCTCATGTGACATCACCGCATAGTACCACATCTTGCATCAGAGTAGACGAATTTTTAATCCAAAGGCACCTTTCGACTCTTGTCAGCTCGGCGCGGCGCATAGGTTATTTTTTGCAGCAATTTGCGTAGTCATTATGTCAATTACTAGCTGGCATACCCGGCTCCGCCCGGTATAGTT